GTTCGAACTAAAGTTAAAAGTAAAGTTTTAAAAGCTTGTCTTGTATGTCGAAAACTTTATTTATTGGTTGCTACCGAACTATGTTGATTTGCGTTCTTTTTTTAAATCTTTCTTTTATTATTTCTTTACTATTCTTTTGAAGTTGGCATAACTTTTTAGGGCCTGTTTTTTACCACCTTCATATTATAACCATATACGAGTAGATTACACAAATTACGTTCTATATTCAAATGTATCTGGTAAATACATATTTTAATATTAAAGAGGTAATATTTTGTAAGGTTGCACATATGTAGGGGTACTCCTTGGGACCGCTGGTCGGATTTCAAAAATTATGCATATATGTATAGCTACAATGTTCCTGAGTGCTATATGCTATAAATTATACTTGATCCTCTAATAGCTACAGTCCATTTTCACCACAATTTCAATAATCCATTTTTTCTGCATAATGAAACAAAACACAGTCGTTCAACCTTCGATCGTTATTTAGTACAATTCCAACTCTATATACTTAGTTACAAGGTCAAAAATCTATTGAATCGAAGCACGAATCGTACCTATATTACAAGCACCTGGTTTCTCTACAACAATGTACCTTTAAAACATTACACTATGTCTGGTTCGTGGCTTAAAAACGCGGGTATTAACCCACTTGTGGGCTAATTCGAGCTGCGCACACGCAACCACGGGCGATCCTGAGCGTCAAATACGTTTGATTGATGATATTTGACATCCCTGCTCATATTGCTACTGATATGAACAATACGTTTCTTCAGAAATTAGGTCTTTTATAAGAATATTTGTTGTTTTTACATACATATGTATGTGTTGGCCCAACAGTGGCCGTGGGCTGTAGTTATCAAAGAAACGTCTTCAAAGAAAGTTTTCGCATCTTTTCGTCAGTTTTTTTTAAGCAGCATTAGTATTATTATGACACGTTAATAGCTTTTTGTTACACACTAATTGCTTTGATAAGGTTCAGCTTGTGTTTTAAGATAGCTATCAATATTTGCTCCTTGTTTATAGAAACTTTCGGGAGACATTGTATATTTATTGTAAGTAACGATTAAAGAGAATTAATCGAGAAATGCTCTACTAATTTCAAGTTACGCCGGAACTCTGATTCATGAGCGATCGTTTTCTTTCGTAGAGTAATCTTGAGAAGTGATTGAGTCAGAACTAATAAATTATCTGAGATGACTTAAAATTGTTGTCAGACGATGGTCTTTTGTTGTTCTAATGATAAATCTATGACCGTATGTCTGTCCACTTATTGCTATTCTTAGTACAGTTTATTAAGAGTACAGACAATAATTAATTATTGTTAATTAATCTACCTTTATCTATCTCTGCCTTGTTAGTGTCTAATTAACTGTGACTATCACTGAGCACTTCATTAGTAACAGTTATTTACAAGACTGCATCCGTCCTAGTCTTCCTGGTAATCTGATCTCTGATCTTATGTAATTCTACTAATATTATCCGTCAAACCATACTTCCAAATATGGTTTGACGGATGTGTGTTTATTCTTACACGTTAAACTGCTGAATGGATTTGAACGAAATTTCGGCACAGAGATAGATTACTTATAGTCTGGAATAAGACACGACTTTTTTAATCGGCAAGGAGCAAAGCCGCTGGCAGAAGGTAGTTCTCCATACTTTGAACCTTTCGTGTGATTTAGACGTGGATCCACAAGAGACACAATGCGATTTCTATTGAGTTATGATAAACGGCTTGGATTCCTTTGACAAAATTACGAATTCGTCGTCAACCGCCATCATTCTGGCGTTGCGTAACTAACGACTCTGGTATAGTGGGTGTCCATAAAGAGTAGCGATAGTTGACCATCACGTGATTGTATCCGAGTGCTTGAGACAAATGCGTCTACGCCTTGAGTATCAAAAATGCCTTTTGAGGTATGAATTAATGGTTTATATTACGCACTGTGTTTATTACCCTAAACAGCCATTGTTAATATATCCATCAACATTGAAAAATCTCCTCTAACGTCCAATCAATAGGATTTAATTTGAAAATTCCAGTGTAACTATTACGGTAACCCACCGTTCTATTCGGAGTTAACTAGAGTATGTGTTCCTTATGTGAGTACAACGTAAATATTAATTCCTCAAGTTATTTGTGTATTGGGCGCAATGATAATAACATGGCCGGCTTCGAGTGAGCTGTTTTATTACCCACATCTCTATTTGAATATACCTTCCGTCGGATTTCGTTTAGAGGCAGGTAGATGTGTTTTATAACTTTATCGTTTCTATGTTCTGTGTTTGTGAGCGCACCTACGACGAATGGGAAATTCCTAGTCTGGGGCCACGTTTTTTTTAAGTCGATTCGGCGTTCGTAGTTCTCTTGGGTTAGGTCGACAAATGAGCATTTGTTTCACCATTTGGTATGTAATCTATTTAGGAAGAAGAGAATAGTTCCCTCACGGTCTCTGCCTCCTTTGCGAACTTCTTTCTGTTCATTATTCATTAGTCCCTACATTTTTATACACTGGCCAGATAAGAGAGAAGATAATTTATAGACTAGGACGAATATAGCTTTTTCGAAACTAATATTCCCCTCACATGCAACTAAATCAAGACTGATCTGATTCCCCATCGAAACGCAGTATTTACACAGCTAAAGTAATTCATAAGCATCGCGTACTAATACGTGTTTATGGCGAGTTCAGCTACATTTCAGTTTTATAGGTGTTATGAGCGTGGTATAAACTAAAACGTAGGCTCCGTGTGTTTGACGTCACTGCCCATTTGCCAGCACTCACACACACTGTGACGTCACAACGCCAGCATTTCTCGATTCGTTTGAATCCGCGGAGCGTGCATTGTATCAGTCGATCGCTGATCGATTGCCCGCCAGTTGGCATCGGATCACAGGCCGTATCTATACCAGTGTTGCCAGATATTAACGGATTTCTGACGGATACGTCAGTTCAAATCCGTGGGATTGGAGAGCGTTGAACTTTTGCTGTTACCCCAGTTGTTGGAACAGGGATGTTGTTGATGTTGTGCCGCGGTGAACTGGAGTTATATTGAGTTTGTAATAGGTACATACTAGAGTATTGTAAAATTGAAAATAAACATTACAATAACTCTTAAAGACTTTTTGTTACTCTTTATCACACAGAAAACTACTTTAAACTGTACATTACCGACTCAAACAGTTAGAAATAAACACGCACGACCTGCTTAATATCGTAATCAAAAACCCAATTCATGTTTATACTAATATCTAATACGAAATTATGTACCATAACAGCTTGCCTGAGCTCGTAAACGCACTTCAAACGGTCAGGCTTAACCCACTACATCGGACATGACATAGACACGATGTGCTCCAACCTTGATCATTGAACTCAAGGAACCAAATTACTTACTACCATATCAGTCGTCACTTGCTAAATAAACACGCGGGAAAAACCGACGCCATTTTTCTAACCCGCCATGTTTATTTAAAAGTTCCTTAATCTCATTATATCTATCATCATCGTATGAACAGAAATACTCGTTTAATTGTGTATTTGTTGATTTCGGACGTATTGAATAATTATTGCTTTGGTTTCTTAGTACGCAGTATATGTGGATTGTTTAAATAATGATTATCATTTTGGTCTTTAAATTTGTAATAATAGAGTATTTTTTAACCTAGAAGCCTTCGACATATGAGCGTATTCCTTTTTCCAACTTGTATATTCTGAGGTGCAGTCACTATCGATGGGTGGCGCCGGTCTTTTACCTTCAGGTGATCCGTCTGAAAACGTACTCCCCAGTACAAATAAAGGCTTATGTCATTCATTATCTGTAACCAATTCACAAACGTCTTTGTGTAAGGGCAGAAAAGTACTAACCCATTAATCAAATCAAATCAAATCACTTTTTTAAAATAGACTACTATACTTACAAGGACTACTATCGGACGTCAAGCAAAAAAAAACATTATATCAAAAGGTTTAACTTTAGGCGTGTCAGTCTGTCCGTCTGTCCTCTAGTGAAGCTATTTGCTCGTTCCAAAGTGTAGATTCCTATGGAGAAGAACGAGCAAGAAACTCCATGGTAACGCTTTTTTAATCAGTTTCATTTCATGCATTTCTTTGTTATATCATTTAGTCCTTTTACCTAACTAGATAGTCTTGTTTATAAATAGAGTAGGTACAATTCTATGTTGCATTTATAAGCAATGACCGGTAGCAGCGCGGATCCGGCGCGGTATTACACACTGCTTATAAGCGTAACGTCTGTCTTCCGTGTAATACCCGGGACGCCCTAGCAATGCGTCTTAAGTATCGCCTTATCGATTGGCCACACCACTGTCATTGTCTTAAATGTAAACAATAGAGAAATCATAAAAATGACACTCCTTTTGTTTTTGTTATTAAGTAAGTTGTAACCTTGTTAGCGTTTCGTCCGAGTGTACTGTCTCATGTGGCGAGGAAAAATCAGATTTGTGACGTGTGTATTGTGTTTTTTTTCAATCTCAATTATCGTGTTTGATTATTCTTTTATAGTTTTACAATTCCAATTTATAATATATAATTGAATTGAAAAACTGATTGAAAAAGAGTAACCATGGGGTTTCTTGCTCTTTCTTCTCCATAGGAATCTACACTTTGGAACGAGCAAAATAAATAGCCTCACTAGAGGGCAGACGGATTCTTGAAATATATTTTCTTTTTCTTTTTTTTTGCTTGACGTTCAAGTGTGGTCTAATTGAAAAAAATGATTTTGACTTTTTGACTTTTGACCAACATTGCCATCACAACCCCTTTTTAACACTTGTCTTTTTTTAAGTGGCATACGAACATACGGGTTACCTTATGGAAACAATTGATTATGTGTGCGTTGCCGGGATTAGGGATTCGGTTGTTTAGGGATTGGGGAGGAGAAGAAGGATTGGGTGTCCGGCAACCTCACGCCCGGCGAAACACAATATTGTGGTTGCTTCACGCCGATTTTCTATGGGCCTATAGTATTAATCCGGTCGAGCCAAAACCATTTGTCTCCCACAGTTATCACCTCACTGAGCCGCAACTAAAAACATTTGTCAAAAACTTAACACACTTTTTTGCAGAGTTTTTTTACAAATATTTGCATTTGTGATTATTAAATGCTTTTAATATAAACCTATCTGTTTTATCTACTAAATAAAAAATCAGAGTAAGCACTAGCGTCTGCACATTTGGCACGTAAACCATGATAAAGATAGAGACAACTCTTTTCAAAAATGCACTCCTGGTATTTCTGGGCGCTTTTAGCCACGTCATCGCTGATGCATCGTGCACTATTTTAATAGTAATATACAGTTCTCCACGTGTTTCTTAGAAAGCTAGACCTCTTTAAGAGTGACTAACAGTCCTTGATCATCGGTGAGCTATGATTCATCATTGGATAATGTTAGTGGAAGATCTTCCGCATGTTCTGGAGGAAAGGGATATACTATAGAACATATTTTGTTGTACCTCCATTTTTCTGCTTTAAATTTGTTAGACATACGTGGTGTATGTGTTCTTGCCATAGTTTTGTAGTCTGTAGAAAAAACTATAAGCGTATTTTTTTTTTTGTTATAACATCTTAGTCTCTCTATTATCCGATTTTAGCGTAGTTTGACTATGATGCCTTCGGTTTTTAGTAATAATTTACTATCGCTTATTCATCAAACATTCTCAATGGTGTCCTATAGTTTCAGGTAATAAAAACTATCTAACCTTGATCCGTTAGTAATATTTTTTTCTACAGCGCCTGTAACTGGTTAGAAATGGTTAATGAGAATATTTGAGAAGTTTATGTATGCGATTAATATTGTCATAGAGCATAAAGAAATATGATTTATTTTGATTATTTTCGTAGTAGGTAACATTTGCGACAACGTCAATTACTTTCATAATTTGTTGCTTTGAATAAAAATATTATACCTAGGTATACATGTTGGTAATAATTCAGTCTTGGCGAGTTCCACAATTTTACATTTTGTCATTTGTTTTCTTATAATTCGTTGTTATCGTCAGTAATTGTGACAATATACTGTCTAATAAATAATGCCAATTTGTTAATTAGAGACAGGCTTCACGTGCCATTTATATTATTACGTAAAGAAACGCCTTTGCTTTCCAGTTCATTAGTCAAAAAATGTTGGTATGTTTTCGACACCTGACGTAATCAGAAGTTTTGAATACCTACAAATAAAAACAATATATTACAATAAATTCGCTGTAACATTTCAAAGAATTTGACGCTTTTACGCGATTAATTGACATTGTCACTTAAATTAAGGTGATTTTAACAATTTGTCTAATAAATGTGCTCGTTTACTTAAGGGAGACAGATTATTTTGGGACAGATTTTTGACCTATTTATTTCTAATTTAATGAAAATTTGGACCGCGAACAATTTTTATATTAATTTTGACCTATTTACTAATTGCTAACACACACGGCTTTGTCTTTGAGCTATAGGATTTGACAATCATACATATATGATTGTCAAATTTTTGGTATGCAATTGACCATGGTTTTTATGACCAATGTAACAGGACTGAGAATTAAATAACGTTACTTTGTTTGTCATACGATTTACGATTCTATTGTGTCTGTTTAAAGATAAAATTGTTTACTTACACTAAATTAAAGGAAGATTAAAATGAATCCACTAAAATATCAGACTTCCGAGTTGAAATTACAACATTTTAACCACATCGTGGGCATGTGTTTGTCTATATTTAGCTTTATATTGGCTCTTACTGTGATTAATTCTCCAAAAATACTCGTTGGGCCGGGATGGCGAAGAAGGGGCCGTTACTCACGGAGAACGGAAACCAAGGTGTGATGTGCAAATAATATTGTGATTCACACTGAATGCAGATGCTTGGTACTCTCTTAATTAGGGCCCTGGTGAGTTAAACTTGCACCGTTTAGTTTAGACACGGCGCGTATTATGTTACATTGTATATTGTACATTGCAGGAGGTTGAACTTGCCGTGTTTTTCCTGCGCTTTTTTGTTTCAATTACAACAACCTGTAGAATGTCGCAGGTATGTTTAGCGTGTAGGAATGGCAATGTTTACAATATGAGAGTTTTACTCCTTAGAATGACAAAACATTTTATAGAATTCTACAAATAACAGTTTTGCCAAACAATGGGAAATTAATTTACAATATATTCTATCAATATACATATTAATGCATGTACGTATCATCTGTTATGTAGTACCCAAAATCCCAGTATTTACTTACGCGATAACCGTTATATCGGTCAGCTAAAAACCTGTCCATCATATCGGATGGTTGCGCCTGGAAACGGTCCAGTATCGGCTCGATACTCGATACTAATACGCGTTAAATTTTATTTTAGTTGCCGTCCGCCATGCTGGCCATAGACAACGCTATCATTTTTAAATTATTTCAGTCTGTGAGTCAAGGAGTCTAGCTCTCGAGCCGAGCGTTCACCTCGTTTATTTTGTAACTAGTAAACTGCTTTAATCTTTTTCTTGTTTGTAAATAAATATTAGATTTATTATAGCGAAATGTTACATTGAAACGTGTGTAGCTTTAAGAAATATTTTGCAGATTTTGTGAGTCAATTCAAAACGCCTGCTTTTTGTTACTGTCGACGGACATTTTATTAGTTTAAATTTTGATAAATAATATAATCAAAGATTTTTATCATAACACTTTTATGTTTACTTAATTTTACGTTGTAATCTTAATTTTCCTGTTTGGAAAAGAGTAAAATTCATGTGAGCCTATTACATTAACTTTTAGCATTTTTATGTTACATGTCGCATTAGTACTCAACAATCTGTCACATTATAACCTAGGAAAGAATACGGACAGAAAAGTCTGTCTAGACTATAGACAGGTTGAGCTTTACATGTGTCGAGTGATAGCTGATTGATAGAGATAAGTCTGCAACTGTCGTCCGTTACACCGCGGAGGTTGGCACTCGTCTCAATTACGGACACATGTACAAAATACTAGACTGTATTTTGTAGGGACTAATGTTTATGATAGATGTATATACGACATATTGACATGATGTTTTTAAACAAAGGGAAGTCCTGAAAGCCCTCACAATATCATAGTTGTAACTATAGTTTAAATATTTAAACTATGAATATACCAGCTACTTTACCAGTTCGTGATAAAGGCCCGTTTCCCAAATGAAAGAGGGATGGACTTACATACAGCTGAGGGTAAATCCTCCGCTAACGTGACCCATGTGATGTCCCTATGGCGTTCAACGTGTTAAGATTTCAATTAACTAAAAATCGCGGGTTACTCACTTGTAAATATTGAGAAAAGCTCTACTAGTGGGCTGCGTGACGTCGCCGCGTCCGCGCACGCTGCTCATGAGGAAGAACCCCTCTGTGGTTCGAAACTAGTAGAGCTTTTCTCAATATTTACACGTGAGAAACCCGCGATTTTTAGTTAATTTAGTATGTCTCACCATAGTTACGATTTCATTTCAAATTCTTTAATTCTTTGTATAGCCGGGAGATCGAACCCTAGGCCTGTTTTGACTGCCATCTAAACCCGCTACCAAACACTTTTGAGGATTTATCGATTTAAAATATAGTGTGTCGTCACGTTTTATATTTAAATGTGCCGTGCTTTCTACGACAAATAAAAAATGCTAATATTTTTTTATAATATTTGTAATAGATGGAATGGATTTTTAGTTTTTTTACTCCCGTTACAAACCATCTATTGTCGAGATAAAACTAAATTCCCTAAATATTGACAACCACATGTCATGTTGACAGTCGGCCATTTTGTTTATCTAATTATGTGAGCATCACTTATATTACTGCCGGCCCCCGTCCTCGTAAACTGACCATAAACATCACATCAGACCATACGACTGATTTATTCAATTTGGCCTTGATCTCATTTGACAAGAATGACATTATTTTAGGAAGATTTGCTTCTGTTTTGAGAATAGAGTATAACTATTATAGTATGTCGTTTTAATGGAAAACGTAGGTGTCCTTACTACACAATAATAGAACTAATACCTATGAAGTGACGTCAGAGTAGACATGTGACCAAAATGGCGCTCTCAGTTAAAACCGAACTTTTTAAATTGCGATTTCCAAGGAGGTTAGGGCAAGAAGGTTAGACTTCCAACCTTGAACTGTAATTTCGTTAATGCTGCTCTATACTAATATAATAAAGAGGTAAAGTTGTAAGTTTGTATGTAGGGGGTAATCTTTGGAGCCGCTGGTCGGATTGTCTTAATTCTTTCAATGATGGATAGCTACAATGTTCCTGAGTGCTATAAGTTATAAAACATCACGCTACGATCTAATGGAGCAGAGCAGCGGATGAAACCGAGAGCAGCTATATAGTTGTGAATGAAACAATAATATTGTTAGAGTAATTATCAAATCCAAATTTTATGTCCATGTGAATTTGAAATTGGCAATTCATGCAATTTAGTTGTTATTCTTAGACGTAAAGCGTTTAAAACTCACAAATAAAATATGTCTAATAAGATACATTGATATAATGCTATTTGAAAATGAATACAGACATATCAGACAGACGGCAGAATTTGCATTGTAGGAGCAGTAATAGGTACAATAAATATTTTGCGGCCAAGTAAGCAAGCCTCCTTTGCTGTACGAGAATCTATGTTTAATATAGAACAAAGAAACATCTTTAATAATGAACATTCAGTCAACTACCAATGAATCACCAAATAAAAAAAAAATGAAAAAACAGCGAAAGATACAAATTGTTTAGTCCTGAAAAGAAATCATGAAAACACATTCCCAGAAGATAGCACCATGATCACGTTATGTATATTAATCTAGAATAGGTCCAAGGTAGACGTGTTCCATCGTAGGTCGCATAATCGCTACCAAGCGAGTGAGTGCCATAAGCAGCGGCCTGTTGCAAATAAAAAGCCAGCCGCCCGTATCGCACACGCGTTATAGTGCCAATAGACCACCACAGATACCGCGTTATAGTGCCAATAGACCACCACAGATACCGCAATAGACCCTATAGGGCTGATGTTCAGCTGGGTTGCGG